AGAAAGAAAAAGGAAATTGATTGTGTTAATTTGTATTCAATATTTTTATATGAATGTTAAAATTGTCTTGAGCTTACAAATTATATTCTCAGTGTCACTAGACAAGGCTAAATGATTTCTGACATGGCAGAAAAAAAAACAGATRAACACATTTTCAGTCAAGTAATGTAAAAGTGACTTTTTAACTGATAAAACACAAAAAGATTTATAAGCACAATTACTAAGGTAGATTTCTGAGGGTATGTAAAATAATCTAATTAAACGTATGGTAATAAAAAAGGTGGTTTTTATGGAGGGCCGAAACTGACATAATTAGAAATAAAAGAAAAAAAAATATAGAAATGGATGAACAAATAAATACACTTAAAATGAAGCAATTGTTTTATAATCCAATTGGCCTTCACATTTATTTTTCCAGCTTAGTTCCAGTCAGTTATATATTTTAGCAAATAATTTACATTTTTACTGTTTTAAAATTTTATATTTCTTTGTTTTTCCTTTTGCATTTGTGTCTCATAATCCAATTGGCCTTCACATTTATTTTTCCAGCTTAGTTCCAATAAACTCTATATTTTAGCAAATAATTTACATTTTTACTGTTTTTAAAAATATGTGTTTTGTTTTTCCTTTTATTTATAGATGTATGACGTATGAATGATTCTATTTATTTATCATTTTTTCCTACAAGTCTTATTATTTCCATGTTTTGCTGTTTTTACATTATACATATGCCATTCTGTCTCATTATGCAAATAAGATAGGCCGACCCTCTTGGACCATCTCCTCTACTGTTGGTCAACAGACAGGATGGAGCAGGATTCATGTGCAGATCCACTGAAGTTCAGTTTAAAACAAAGACAAGGAGAAACACACTTACCTGTGTCTGTTTTACACTAAAGTTTAAAATTTAATCTAAACTGAGGCAGCACAAGCATGCACAGTAGACCTACACATGGATCCTACTGCTTCCTGTCTGTTGACCAATAAGAGAGGAGCTGACACAAGAAGGACCGCCCACCTTATTTGCAATCATTTAAGAGACAGAAACACATGTACATGTAAAAGAAAAAAAAAACATAAAATCTATATTTTTAAAAATGTAAACATTTAAATTATGTGCCAAAATTTATAATTTATTTGAACTAAGCTGGAAAAACAAATATGATGGTCAAATAAACTATAAAACATGAGGTAAAGTTCTCAGTTTTTTATTTAATTGGTGCATTTTAAGTGTATTTACTTATTTATCGGTCCATTTATATTTCTGTTTTTATTTCTAATTATGTCAGTTTCAGTTCTCCATGTAAAAATGTATCTGAAACTACTGAAACAAATCCACACTGGCTGTGGTTTGCTTATTTCACCAAAGGGAAACGGTGGATCACACTCATGGACATTCATAGGTTCATGTACAGTAGCTGCTGCTAAACATTCTCCAACACCATCATATACTTTTCAGGCTGTCTGTTTYCTTCAGCCCAAACTAACAGAAACTTTCCTCCAGCATGCTTTCTAACACAGTACATGCAGACTGTTAGATCCTGTGTAAAGTTGATGCAGATTGCTCACAGTGACTCCAAGGACATGCTAAATATGTATTACAGAGAAAAGATTAAGCCAGATTTGAAACATTTGCAGAAACTGACATTATCCAAGTGACTACGAAGAAGAATTCATATCCACCTAACAAAACAGACATAATAAACAAACATCTTAAACACGAATATTTTATGAGCCGGAGTATAAAAACCTACACATATTTATGGATGCCTTTTCCAAAAAGATTAAAAAAAGGTAACCACCTTGTAATAGTTCTTGCTTTGTAGCACTTTGCAACAGACRAATTACTCAAGCATGGCTTTATAGCTGAAAATAGTTTCATTATTCTTTACTTCTGTGAGCGAAAACATTATGATGCATCGGCCTCGCCGTGCACTTCCCCATTTCACATTCATCTTTTTAAGTACATTAATAAACAGTAAAGAGAAAGGATTTTTTAAAGGTCCTATTTGTCCTCGAAAGCAGCTGAATACRTGCCTCAGTTCCTGCATTCATCAAAAGGTGTGGCCACAACATTAATATAAAATATATATGAAAAAAAGAAAAGCATTCTGCTAGCAGCTCACACAACTGGATGAATACAAAACAAGACAAAAAAAAGGGCTCAGAGACGTATCAAAGAAAAACACCCATATGTCAAAATCTCTGACTGCCAAAACTGAGCTCGGCAGTTTGTTTTTCCACACTGACCCTGTCAAATTGTATTTAGAAGTATGCTGCTGTTAGCGGCTGTGCCAAGAGCTCTTCATTTCACAACCAAAAGCTCAATTATTATGAAAAAGAAGGCTGGTAAATCCGAGATTGTGTGTGATTTCAGAAATATTCAAACAAAAACTCAAGTGTGTTTTCTGTTGGAAGTAAGCCTATTTCTCTGATTAGAAAAAATTATGTTATATATATATATATATATATATATATATATATATATATATATATATATATATATATATATATACACATGTATATAAGCATGCATTTTAGGGCTGCATTTAACTCTGGAGTCTGCTGTTTCTTTTTTCTTTTTAACAAGTTTTCAGCTTCTGCCTGTCAGGGTAGATCTTTCTCGTGTCGGGTGATTTAAATCTTTTACCAAAGCTCTGACCTTTCCAGATGACTGTCTGGGTCTGACACAAACCACAGATGATGAAGCATGGAAGAGTGAGTTTTAGTCAAATTCTGCCCATGGCAAAGACAGAGAGGTATGTTGGGATTAAAAGTTTAGGACACCTAAATATGGAAACAAATGAATAAATGAACTTTTTAAAAAATAAATCAACATTTAGGTAAGTGAAAACGGCACCAGATCAAATAATGTTAGCTTTAGATTTTAGCACAGAACTGAAAAAAAAACTGATTCAGTTAAAAGTTAAGATTCTTCAGCTGCCAAAACTGTTTTTGTGTTTCAGCTGAGAGTCTGCAGCGTCACTCCTTTCAACCTGATTGTTTGCTCTGATGTCAACTCTTTTTTTAACAGATAGCAGCCTGATGACAAACATCAGCTTAATCAGTTAAATACATTCTATTAGTTTACAGGCTAATCCATTAAAAACTATCGATCATACTGATGTGAAAATGCATCAGATAATCACTTAAAGCTATCAGAACAGGACACCACCGTGACAAATGCACTCACTGGTTTCAGCTTAGTGCCAGAAGTGAGGAGAACCGTTAAAACTTTCAAGCACTTAAGATGTTTACATTTTAGTCCATCACTCAGTACCAAAGAGAGAGGAGTCTTATCACTTCTAAAATCAAGCTCTAGTTTAGGAACGACCCAAAACGTGCAGACAGAACCTGAGACAGTTGGTTACCTATATGAACAAAACAAAATTTCTCTTTTTTTCCCCAGTTGTTCAACTAACTGAAAAATAAACCGACTTGATTTTAAAACCTCTGACAGTAAGTTTAGCTCTTGCAAGGTACCACACAGGCACAGCAGGGGATGGTAGCAGTTTGCTGCAAGAGTGCCTGCTTTAATAATGCAAACTTGTATAGGGAGAAAACAGGCAGTCACAGTAAAACCCCTTATTGCATCACAGAGCTGCAAAGGAAAACATCAAAGTCCTGTCGACTGTTACGGCAGAACCAAAACCAAAAACCTGCAAAAGCAAAAAATATATCAGTTTTTTTGAGCAGCCACCACGCTCAACACGGTAAAGCTAATTAAGCTAACCCATCKTTGTTTTCGTTAACATTGTTCCATTAGTGATGCAGCTTTGTGAACATGCCGTTACTTCTGCTTACTGTGTACAAGGTGCAGAGTTAATTAGGACAGTCAGTGGTATGTGTGCAGTCATGACCTACGGTTCCTTGTTTAAATTATTATTTCCATCTTGGGCTGCTCATTAGAAGTGAGTCAGCATGTCCTCCTGCACCCCAACATAAGGCTCTGTCTGACATGTGGGCTTGTTGCTGATTTTCTTTGCTTACCGAGTGTTCAGAAATTGGTCACCAGGG